TTTCAGCCTCTGCAAACAAGTGCCAGGGCCGAGAGAAAGGGCTCCTTCGGCCAGCTTATGGCCGAGATTTATCAGGCACAAACAATTTTATGTTTGTTGGTGGCAATCTTGTTATGTGGAGGAGCAAGAAATAAAAGGTGGTGTCTCGGTCTAGTGCTGAGGCCGAGTATTGAGGAATGACCAATGGTGTATCTGAATTACTATGGTTGAGAAGATTGTTGAGAGACCTTGGTTTTGGGCCTAAGAAACCCATGGATTTATATTGTGACAATACGGCTGCGATTGCAATTGCTGTAGTGATGGACATGGAGGACAACCCAAGCAGAGATCGTGTTGAACCCATTCTCTTAGGACGACCATTCATGGCCACTACAAACACAATTATTAATGTGAAAGATGGCACCCTCTCCATGACTGTGTTGGGTGAAACTGCTGAATTTAAAGCGTTTGATCCTCCATCTCAACCTAGTACCTCTCTTGATACTTGTTTTTCAATTGATTTTGTGAATGATGAAGTTTCCTCCCAAAGCTTGCAGAAACAGTCCAATGATGATATAGAAGTTGTCATTTCACAAAAAGAGGAAGAACAAGTTGAACCAAAGTTCCAAGAAGTGGTAGCTGCCTTAGAAGTGTTTCAGCCATACCCAACTTCCTTTAAGCCACCACTCGAGCCTCTTGGACCATCATCCACGAAATTGGAGCCATCCATTATCATCCCACCTAAGCTAGAACTTAAACCTCTGCCCAATCATCTTAAATATACTTATTTGGGTGCTAATGAAACTCTATTATTTCCTTTCCGTTCATCCGTTCTGAGTACCAGTTAGCCGATGTTCTTACGAAAGCTGTTTCTACAAGTATCTTTCTCAACTCGCTTGACAAGTTGGGCATGCGTGACGTCTTTGCTCCAACTTGAGGGGGAGTGTTAGCGAGAGATATCCTATTCTATTAGGATATTATTTTATTTATTTCCTTTTATATAGATATTATGTAATTAGGATTCCACTTGTTTTCCCAGTTTAACCCTACTAGGGTTTATAACCTTGTATTATAAATACCTCCTTTCGGAGAATGAAATACATCTGAAAATATTCTACCATATTATTTGACTGATGAGGTTTGGAGGGACAAAGATCCTCTGCTTCCCTCTTATCCTTACCTGAGAGCTCGCTCCAGGTTCTGGGCTGATTTCATTGATAAGAAGGTAATTAGCTTGGAAACATTTTAACTAATTCCAATTGAATTCTCTAGCAATTTCTGATGGAATGATTCTTAAAATTGCAGCTATATGATGCTGGGAGGAAAATATGGGCCACAAAAGGGGAGGAACAAGAGGCAGGCAAGAAGGAATTTATTGAAGTCCTTAGGCAGTTGGAAGGAGAGCTTGGAAACAAGCCTTATTTTGAGGGTGAGAGTTTTGGGTTCTTGGACATTGCTCTCATCACATTCTACAGCTGGTTCTACGCATTTGAGACCTGTGAAAACTTCAGCATAGAGGCAGAGTGCCCCAAGTTGATTGCATGGGCCAAGAGGTGCATGCAGAAGGAGAGTGTGTCCAAAACTCTTCCTGACAAAAACAAGGTCTATGAGTTTGTTCTTGGTATGAAGAAGATGTTTGGTATGGAATAGAAGAAGAAAATAGGCTTTTATTCTAGTTTTCTTTACTTTCAGGGCCTTTTTTTTTACTGGTTAGACACTTTGGTGTGTCTTCTGAATGTTATGTCAAAAGGGTATGTTTGTATTATAACAATAATAAAAGAGACTTCGATGTGTCTTGCTCTACTTTAGTTCTCTCTTCCTTCCATTTTTAGATATATCTTTTTTTCTCAATCTTAAAAATAGGAGCTTCTTGCCAACGGAAGAGTCTAGCCCTTTGAGTACGCATTCAGTGACACCTTGATATTGTACGTGTGAAAATATCCCACTTGTCCTATAGTTTACATTAACGTTTGCATAATATATATATATATATATATATATATATATATACTTTAAACACTTGAAAGCCCAGAAGAAAAACTCCCACAGGATGAAAACATGGTGATCAGCGGCATAAGCAATTTCTGAGGCAAATCCAGCAGCTCCAATCTTGAAGATATTTATTCAACATAATACTTTTATAACAAGTGGGTGCTCAAGACTTCGGCTTTACCATTGATAAAACTTATTTAATTAGAAGCTTTAAATTGTGATTAGCACTTAGTGCTGAAGCGTCAACTTACTTTAAGATCACCTAACATGCTAGCTAAGGCATTTCGAGTTAAATAATATTATTGCTGACGACTTCTCTAATACACGTAGTTAGCAATGTGGTTAATAAATGTGTTCTACATCACCTTGAGTTATATTCAAAGTGCATGGTTCTCTTATCTCTTCATATAAAATATTTTGGGAGAGAGCCCACATCACAAATGACGAAAGCAATGACAATTTCTGGCACTTACTAATCACTTTTATTAATTTGTTAATTAACATCAACCACGGCATCACAGATAATCTTGAAACAAATGTCAATATATAAAACGTTACACTTAAATTAGCCTCAGCAGTAGAAGTAAGTGCTGCATTCTTTTCTTGTTCATCAGTCAGTCTTGGAGTTTAGCAAGAAGCTAAGCTGAGCTGCAAGAAGAAGAAGTTTGTGTGCCAACAATGGCGGACGAGGAGGTTGTTGTTTTGGGGTTCTGGACAAGCACGTATGGGACGAGGGCAACGATAGCTCTGGACGAGAAGGGTGTCAAGTATGAGTACAGAGAGGAGGACTTGAGTAACAAGAGCTCACTGCTTCTGCAGATGAACCCGGTTCACAAGAAGATTCCGGTTCTCATCCACAACGGTAAACCGGTCTGTGAGTCACTCATAATTGTGCAGTATGTTGATGAGGTTTGGAGGGATAAAGCTCCTCTGCTTCCCTCTGATCCTTACCAGAGAGCTCGTGCCAGATTCTGGGCTGATTTCATTGATAAGAAGGTAGTAATTAACATATGCAACATGTTGCTGTCTGAGAGAAAATACAGAACAGCTCTAACTTTCTTTGTGTATATTCTTCTTCTTTTATTTTGGTGGAATTTTTTATAAAAAAGAAAAAGGAAACAATGAAGCAGCCAAGAAGGAATTTTCTCTTGATGCTACTTTTCTTTTATTTTTTTGTATTTTTGGAAAATTGTAGGTATTTGATGCTGGGAAGAAACTATGGAGCACAAAAGGAGAAGAACATGAAGCAGCCAAGAAGGAATTCATCGAAATCCTTACGCAGTTGGAAGGAGAGCTTGGAGACAAGCCTTATTTTGGGGGTGAGAGGTTTGGGTTCCTAGACGTTGCTCTCATCACATTCTACAGCTGGTTTTATGCATTTGAGACCTTTGGAAACTTCAGCACAGAGGCAGAGTGCCCCAAGCTGATTGAATGGGCCAAAAGATGCACGCACCGGGAGAGCGTATCGAAATCTCTGGCCGACCCTAAGAAGGTGTATGAGTTTCTTCTTGGTCGGATAGCAGGATAGAATAGGCTGCTAGCCAGCATATTATCACCATAGCAGGTCCTGCAATCAAATGTTAGGCTGTGTTTCTTCTGTTTTTTCTTTTTCCTTTCAGCTTTGTTTTTCCAGTGAGAGATCCTTTGGTTTTGTGTGTCTAAATTATGTTTTTTTAGCTGCTTGTTGATATTTGAATGGCTCAAAATCCTTTGATATAAAAAGTTCACAACAATTTGATAATTTGACTACAAAACCATATACAGCAAAGCTCCCCCATTTACTGTAGCGGGCTTGGTCAAGTGCCGCCTTATTGCAAATATAAAGAACACAAAACACAGGTTGAAACTTGAAACACAGAAAAAGCACAAGCTCAAGTGCCCATGCATCTACTGATCAATCCCCCTCGCTTTCATGCGCTGCAGAAACAAGTCATAGATCGCTTTCTGGTCAGCAAGAGACTTGGACACACTCTCCTTCTGCATGCACCTCTTTGCCCATGCATAAAACTTTGGCTGCTCTGCCTCTATACTGAAGTTGCCACATTTCTCATACACATAAAACCAGCTATAGAACGGAATAAGCGCCACATCGACGAACCCGAGGGTCTCACCCCCAAAGTAAGGCTTGTCTCCAAGCTCCCCTTCCAACAATCCAATGCACTCAAGGAACTCTTTCTTTGCTGCTTCCTGTTCTTCTCCTTTGGTTGTCCATACCACCCTCCTCCCAATATCATACATCTGCATTTAACATCACCAAAAACCCGTTATCCATATTTCGAGATTTTCACAATAATTCTTCAGAACTCCATATAATTTACTGCGGATTCTCTACTCATATTTTCCATGTTGATAATATTGGATTTATGGTAAAAAATTAGTAAGTTAGGAAAATTATGTAAACTTTACTAGGTTTATGTATTCACAACACATACCTTGATTCGACATTGTGAGAATTACTGCAGCAGGAACTTTGATTACTTGCTTGGGAAGAAACTGGAATTCTGCAGGAGCTGTGTTCTTGACTGGTTCGGGCAGATTTGTATTAGGGCAGTATCTCTATGCTATACGGCTCTTGAGTCTCTTCTTGATGGGGTAGAATAATATGAGAACGTTATTCTGCCGTTAGCATAGGGACCTCCCTTTTATAGGTGTAGTTTAAGTATCCTCCTCATCATGGATTACTTAAACTCCTTTAACCAATAGGAGTAGGTATCTCAATCCATTTAGAATTAGGAAACCTTAAGCACTTGTATTTATCTTAAATCAGTCATATATATCAAGTCTTAAATTTAATCGATCCATGTAATCCTAATTGACATTGAACTAGTTATCCTTAAATGATTAGAAGACCACCTTAGGGTTTTGAATGCAAATCTTACAAATTATACCTTCTTGTCAACGAAATCAGCCCAGAACCTGGCTTGGGCTCTAGGGTAAGGATCAGAGGGCAACAGAGGAGCCTTATCCTTCCAAACCTCATCAATGTACTCAAGGGCAACTAAGGACTCAGATACTGGTTTGCCATTGTGAATGAGAACCGGGATCTTCTTGTGAACCGGGTTCGACTGGAGCAACAGTGCACTCTTGTTACTCAAGTCCTCCTCTTTGTACTCATACTGAATGCCCTTCTCAGCCAGAGCAACTCTCAGCCTCATCCCAAACGGGCTTGGCCAGAAGTCCAACAGCAACACCTCATCCGCCATTGAAGACTCAAATTTGAACTTAGCTTAATTAAGATGTGGAGCTGTGGATGGTGCTGTGGATGGTGGTGATGTGGGTCAGTGTGAGTATTTATGGACAAACATTCAAAGCAGAAGCAATCAGATTATGTCATTGCATGCGTTCGATATCAAATCTTCAATCTTTATTGTTTTCTGTTTCATTGAATACTGTTCCTAATAATATAATTGAGAAAGTAGGACTAACGTATGGATTTTATTAATCTTAGGGGAAAAGAATTTAGACCTAATGCTTTTTTTTTTCTTTTTTTTTTGGGGTCAAGGACCTCATCGGTTTTAGGTAGACGAACTCGAACACGCAACACAAATGCTCGGGACCAGAAAGTGAACTGAAAATATACAATTTTTAATGACTGTTTAGGCATATAAAATATTTGAAGGAGATAAGCGATAGATTCTTTTTTTTTTTTTTTTTTTTTCTTTGGGTCAAGAGAGGTGATATATGTAGCTTCTTAAGCCTACCATAATGCAGTTGACAAGAAAACAATGTAGTAGAAGTTGACAACTTGATAATTTGACTACAAAGGCAAACCACCAAAAACATATGACCAGAGAGTTTGACGGAAACAAGTCCATTTGTTTTTGTATTGTTTTTTTATTGTACGTGTTTCGATAAACTGAATAGTCATGGGGGAGCTGGAAGCCCTATAAGCTTCGCAGAAACAGTGTTTTTTTTTTTGGGTGAGTGATAATTCTCTGCAGGAAGGAAGTAGGATTCAAAATAACATTTTAACTAAACCCATTGAATTCTCTAGCAATTTTTTATGCAAATTTTCTTAAAATTGGGGAGGAATTTATCGCAGTCCTGAAGCAGTTGGAAGGAGAGCTTGGAAACAAATTAACCTTATTTTGAGGGTGAGAGTTTTGGGTTCCTACAGCTTGGTTCTATGCATTTGAGACCTGTGGAAACTTCAGCATAGAGGCAGAGTGTCCCAAGCTGATTGCATGGGCCAAGAGGTGCATGCAGAAGGACAGTGTGTGGAAAACACTTCCTGACCATAAAAAGGTGTATGAGTTTGTTATTGGCATGAAGAAGATGTTTGGTATGGAGTAGAAGAAGAAAATAGGGTTTTAGCATATTAATTATCACACAATGTTAGTGAGAGAGTCTTGCAATGAATTCTTAGGCTGTTCTAGTTTTCTTTCCTTTCAGCTTCCTTACTTTTTTCTTTTCCTTTCTGATGAGACACTTTGCTGTGTCTTCTGAATGTTATGTCAAAAGAGTATATTTGTATTATAACAATAATAAAATAGACACTTTGACGTGTCTTTGCTCTACTTTAGTTATTTTTTCCTTTCATTTTAAGATATATATATTTCTTTTTTCTTTTTTCTCAATTTAAAAAAATTGGAGCTGCTTGCCAACTGGAGTCTAGAAAAAGGTCTTGACTTGCAGACGAGCGTGAAAAACCCTAATGACACCTTTGTAATTGTAATGTGTGTGAAAAACTCTCTTGTCTTATAGTTTATACTATCGCTTATTAAAATAAATAAACAGGAGCTACTTTAAACCCCAAAAAGAAAAACTCCCACTGGATAGAAGCAAGGTGATCAGCAGCATAATCACTTTCTCTGGCAAATCGTGCAGCTCCAATCTTGAAGATATTTATCTTTCAATATAATACTTTTAAGATCAGTGGATCCTCAAGACTTCGGCTTTACCATTGATATATTTTTTAGAAGCTTTAAATTGTGACTACCACTTAGTGCTGTAGCATCAACTGTTTTACGATCACCTAAAATGCTAGCCCACAATCACATATGACGAAAGCAGTGACAACTTGCGGCACTATTGATCAAGTTTACAAATGTCAACACTACATGCCAAAGCACACGCAGACACCTCATAGTTAAAAGCCAAAACGATGTCGCATCATCCTTTTGTATTATATAAACGTTATACTTAAATTACAGTCTCAGCAGTAGAAGTCAGTGCTGCATGCTTTTCTTGCTTTATCAGTCTTTGAGTTTAGCAACAAGCTAAGCTGCTACAAGAAGAAGAAGTTTGTGTGTGTCGGAAATGGCGGATGATGAGGTTGTTGTTTTGGGATTCTGGCCAAGCATGTATGGGACGAGGGCAACGATAGCTCTGGACGAGAAGGGTGTCAAGTATGAGTACAGAGAGGAGGACTTGAGGAACAAAAGCTCACTGCTTCTGCAGATGAACCCGGTTCAGAAGAAGATCCCAGTTCTCATCCACAACGGTAAACCGGTCTGTGAGTCACTCATCATTGTGCAATACATTGATGAGGTTTGGGAGGGTAAAGCTCCTTTGCTTCCCTCTGATCCTTACCAGAGAGCTCGGGCCAGGGTCTGGGCTGATTTCATTGATAAGAAGGTAATTAATGAAGTTGTTTTCTGTATAATTTCCCCTTTTCCTTTTCCTTTTAATTTCATTTTGGATGTGATTTGGGTTTGCATGGATTTTTACCATCTTGAATTTTTGTTTTCATGTGTTTTGGAATATCATTCTCTTTTTGTGATCATACTGAAAAAAAAAAAAAATTTGGACATATTTGAAATTGGTATGTTTCACAAATCCAAATTGAAAGAAATTCAGAGCACACACACATATATATATATATAAGGGGAAGCAGATCAATTTTGAGGTTAAGCGCCATTTTTGGAACGGGTTAATATGCAACATGTTGCTGTCTGGGACAATGAAAAACAACACCAATTTATTTTTGTATAACTTGAGGAAGCCAAGAAGGAATTCATCGACATCCTTAAGCAGTTGGAAGGAGAGCTTGGAGACAAGCCTTACTTTGGGGGTGAGAGCTTTGGGTTCTTGGACATTGCTCTCATCACATCCTACAACTGGTTTTATGCATTTGAGACGCTTGGAAACTTCAGCACAGAGGCAGAGTGCCCCAAGCTGATTGAATGGGCCAAGAGGTGCATGCAGCGGGAGAGCGTTTCGAAATCTCTTGCCGACCCTAAAAAGGTGTATGAGTTTCTTCTTGGCTGGATAGCTGGATAGCTGGATAGAATAGGCTGCTAGCCAGTCCTGCAATCAAATGTTATGTTGTTGTTCTCTTCTGGTTCATTTTCCTTTCAACTTTGTTTTTCCAGTGAGAGATCCTTTGGTTGTGTGTGTGTCTAAATTATGTTTTTTGGTTGATTGTTGATACTTGAATGACTTAAACTTCTTTGCTATAAAAAGTTCACAACAATTTGATAATTTGACTGCAAAACCAAACAAAAGGAGAGCATATGACAAGATCATGCACAACAAAGTTGCCCTCTTTTATTGCAAATATGAAGAACCCAAAACTTGAAACACAGAAAAAGCACAAGCTCAAGTGCCCATGCATCTACTGATCCATCCCCCTCGCTTTCATGCGCTGCAGAAACAAGTCATAGATCGCTTTCTGGTCAGCAAGAGACTTGGACACACTCTCCTTCTGCATGCACCTCTTTGCCCATGCAGAAAACTTTGGCTGCTCTGCCTCTATACTGAAGTTGCCACATTTCTCATACACATAAAACCAGCTATAGAACGGAATAAGCGCCACATCGACGAACCCGAGGGTCTCACCCCCAAAGTAAGGCTTGTCTCCAAGCTCTCCTTCTAGCAATCCAATGATCTGAAGGAACTCTTTCTTTGCTGCTTCCTGTTCTTCTCCTTTGGTTGTCCTTATCACCCTCCCAATCTCAGACACCTGGATTTAACATCACCAAAATTGCAGAAAATTTTATGGTTAAACAGGAGGTCAAAGACCCTTTATCCATATTTCGAGATTTTCACAATAATTCTTTAGAACTCCATGTAAAGATTCTATACTAATATTTTTCATGTTGATATAGGATTTATGGTAAAAAAATTAGTAAGGTAGTAAAATTATACCTTCTTGTCAACGAAGTCAGCCCAGAACCTGGCTTGGGCTCTAAGGTAAGGATCAGAGGGCAACAGAGGAGTTTTATCCTTCCAAACCTCATCAATGTACTGAAGAGCAACTAGGGACTCAGACACCGGTTTGCCGTTGTGAATGAGAACCGGGATCTTCTTGTGAACCGGGTTCGACTGGAGCAATAGTGCACTCTTGTTACTCAAGTCCTCCTCTTTGTACTCATACTGAATGCCCTTCTCAGCCAGTGCAACTCTCAGCCTCATCCCATATGGGCTTGACCAGAAGTCCAACAACAACACCTCATCCGCCATTGAAAACTTAGATTTGAATTGATTGATGCAAAAACTTACAAAACTTAGCTTAAGATATGGAGCTGTGGATGGTGGTGGTGATGGTGTGTGTCATTGTGAGTATTTATGGACAAACATTCAAAGCAGAATCAATCAGATTATGTCATTGCGTTCGATATCAAATCTTGAGTCGTTTTGTTTTCTTTTTTCATAGTAATATAATAATTGAGAAAGTAGGAGTAAGGTTTTGATTTTATTATTTTACCTGTTTTTAATAATAATCTTAGGGGAAAAGAATTTAGACTTTCTTTCTTTTTTGGTCAAGGACCTCATCGGTTTTAGGTAGACGAACTTTAACACGACACGCAAATGCTCCGGACCAGAAAGTCAATTAAAAATATGCAGTTTATAATTAATCTTTAGGCATATATATATATATATATATATATATATATATATATATATATATATATATATATATATATATATATATATATATATATATATATATATATATATATAATATAAGATTTGAAGGAATAGGTGAAAACATATCATAAACAATTTGATAATTTGACTACAAAACACATAAAGTGCCTCACTAAGTAGAGGGGGCTTGGCCAAATGCCCTTTTATTCTAATTTCAAAACACAGAACAAGTACATGGGCGATCACTTGCTTATGCCCATGCTTTTTCCCATCTACTCCATTCCAAGTTTACTCCGCAGCTGCCGGACGAAGTCATAGACCCTTTTCTGGTCAGGAAGAGACTTGGACACACTCACCTTCTATTAATCTCAAGTGGAGAAGGAAAAGCAATGGTAACGGGTAGAGGATCACGGAAAGCTCCTGTTTGAGCTTTGTTTAAGTTTTGGATCAGACCCAACTGCCGTACTTCTGCTCTAAGTGCTGATAAAAATAGTTTATCTTGGTCTCCTCTCTAATCAACATGTGCCACATGTGAAAAGACCGTTACCTTTTGACCCCTTGACAGATCAAAGTCATATATGAATATGGATAATGAGCTTGAGAATTAAATCAAATTATGGCCCAATTATGAAATGAAGACACTACTAAATTTTTGTATTTGCGCGACGAAGGAATTTTGGTCGCGCAAAGTACATTTGTGTCGCACAAATAGTAATGCGACAGTATATTCGTCGCGCAAAATTTGTCGCGCAAAGATCGTAAAGATACACTTTGCGCGACGAAAATATTAAAATTGTCGCGCAAAATGAGCGACGGTAAACCTTCGTTGCACGTTATTTCGAGGGACAATGAGATATTTCGTCGGTCAAAGTTTTGCGCGACGAATATACATTCGTTGCATTAACATAGCGCGAGGAATCATAAGCGTCGCACTAAAAGTACAGGGACGAGAGCATATTCGTGTCGAAAAGATTTGCGCGACGAAATATAGTCGTTGTAACGACACTGCGCGACGACTACCATGCGTGGCGCAGGTACTGTGCGACGAGTATGTTCGTGATTAAAATATTTGCGCAACGAAATATTTTGGTCGCGCAAAATAAAATAAATTCTTTAAAATTTATTTTTACGGTTGTGTATGTTCAAAAACAATTTGCGCGACGGAAACTGTCGTCGCGCTAAAGCAGAGGGACGAGAGGATATCCGTGTCTAAAATATTTGCGCGACGAAATATAGTCGTTGTAAGGACACTGCGCGACGAGTAACATTCGTGGCGCAGGTATTTTGCGACGAGTAGATTCGTGTTTAAAATATTTGCGCGACGATATATTTTTGTCGCATTGACTTAGAGAGACAAATTATTTCGTCGCGCAAAAAAAATAAATTCTTTAAAATTTAATTTTACGGTTGTGTATTTTTTTTTAAAATTTTGCGCGACGGAAACTATCGTCGCGTAAAAAATAAATATATTATTTTTAATTTAAAATTAAATTGAATTATTTTGGTAAAAAAAATAAATTTGGTTTTTTTTTTTTTAATGAAATGAAATTGCAATTAGAAAAAGGTAATAAAGAGAAATATGTAAAATGTGATAACATAATGTATTTAGTACAATAGAAATATTTAAAATATAATTAAGAATGTTAAAATCTAATCAAACAACCCTCCAAGATCTACATTGTCGTCTGGCAAATGCAGCTCGGAGGTCTGGACATTGTTGACAGGGGGAGAGGTGTGGTTGCCATGCTCGGAGGTCGACGGGGGAGTAAAAGGCGGGATTGAAATGCCGGAGTGAGCGAGGGACTGTAGAATATGAGACAAATGACTCTTGAGGTCCGCCACCTCTGTCTTCAAAGCAGTCACCTCTTCATTTGACTCTGATGATTCACGGGGTCTAGGTGGCCGCTGCCTGGCATTCCCCATCCCTCGACAATATGTCCCTGAGCGCCTCCCGAGACTCTGATCCAAGGTTTCAGTCAGGATTTGAAACCCTGCATCCGATGGAGGAACCACGGACTCGAGCGGCGTATCGGGAGGAAGCTGGGAGGCGGACTCCTGAAGAACCAACTGGCTCCTCTCAATCATAGTCGTCTGTTGAACATAACATAAAATATGAATTAAAACATTCATATAATAACTATAAAAACTTGAACGCTTACATAATAATTTAAAGGCTTATTATCACAAAGCGTCCCTGACGTTTCCGAAACTATCACATTGCATCCTGAAAGTTTTTTTGTATCACTCATGGTCCCTAACGTTAATATAAGTGCTCTCAAATAGTCCTTCTGTTAAAAAAAAATGTTAAGTCTAGGGATATAATCAAAATTGAGCAGAAAAAAAAATGTTAGGACGAAAAAAACAAATTAATATTAATGACATATTAAAAAATAAATAAAAACGACTGTATTATTACCTGGCGCCGCGCCTCCATCCTATAAGAGAAGGGCCTGGAACCTGAATGGTGGAGAAGAGTCTTCCTCTGCCTATTGCCCTTATTTGCTTTGGCCTTCTTCTGTTATACAAAAAATAAAAAGTATTAGTTGAAAGTGAAATGAAATATAAAAAATTAAATACACATTAGTAAGAAACATGTAATAAGTTTCAATTTAATATATAAAAATACCACATAATCGGCCTCTTGAAAATGACCGCAGAGCCACTGCCAACTATCCTCCCGGCCCTCAAGCTCCTTCGGGCAACCCTCTTGAAGAGCAACCTGCGTATCATCATATGCCTGAAAATGGTGATGCAGGTCGCTCTTCCACTGCTTGTACCTGTCAGCAAAGAGTCTGTTGAGTTACGCCAACAACTCTTCGCCGACGTTCTCTAAATTGTAGTTTGTCTAAAATAAATTCATTACATACATTAAATATTAGAAATAAAATTTGAAGGGAAAAACAATGAAAA